TCATGATGAAATGAAGACCAACACAGAATACAGAAAGCGTAAGCACATGATAACACAAGATGAAGACTAATAGACTGAAGAAATTGAACTGAGGATATTGAGAAAGTCTTCAGACAAAGTTTTCAAACAGATATGAACAAGCACACAACAACAGTAATGAGGAAATGAAAGAGTTGAGGAAATAGAACCAGTAAGCTTGGTAAAGACAATGATTTGGTAGACCAGTTCCAACTGCTGTCTCAGTTGTACATCTGGTTGAAGCCGCTGAGTATTTAAACTCGAGGACACACAGTCCCGGACACACAATCCTCACCATATTCTCCTTGAGCTAAAGTCACACAGACCTCGCCCAATCACTCGTGGTAAGTCTTCAGGTGACTTCCGGACCTTCACAAACTTGGTCACTCGGCGATCCACAATTCCTCTTGGATGCTCTAGACCTTGACGCCTAACCGTCTGGAAGAAGCACAATCTTCAAAGGTAACAAGCGTCGGATCCACGCAGGATCAATATCTTCAGTGATGCTCAATCACTTTGGGGTTTTGAAGATTTGGGTTTGGGTTTTCCTCACTTGACGATTTTCGCTCAAAGTCCTCAGAGGATGGGATGCTCTCAAATGACAAGTGTCTGTTTCTCTCGGAGCATCCAACCAACTAGTGGTATTAGGGGGCGGCTATTTATAGCCTAGGGAGCAGACCGACATGATAATACATAAATGCCCTTGTCTGATATGACCGTTAGGTGGGTAGATATTTTGGGATAGTTGGCGCGTAGCACAACAACGGTCGGAATTTTGAGTCTTAAATTCCTCAGGGCTATCATGTTCCTCACTGTGTAGGCAATCCGCACTGGCGAATTCCTAACTCGTCAGTCAGAACAAATTCCTCAGAGACCAGAAGAACTTCGTCTCTTTCACTGAAGAATATGACTGAACTGTATGAGATTTCTAATGGCTTAACTCGAAGGGATTGGTAGGTGTAGGATTTTGAGTTGAGCATCACATGGAAAATTTTCCTTAGTATTTCCCCGACCCCCTTTAACAGTACGGTGTTTCCTATGACTCAAGAAAGAGAAAATAAAACTATAAAAACAAAAGTCTTCAAGCTTCATGTTCCTCAAATGATTGCCAAGTCTTCAAGGTCACACCATTTTCTTCACTTTCAAAGTCTTAAGAAAGTCTTCAAAAATCCAAAGTTTTCAGTTGAAGAACTTTATTTTTAGCGGTCGACTTTCTCTGTAAATATCAAACTCCTCATAGACTTATAGACCTGTGTACACTCACAAACGCATCAGTCCCTTAACCTATAAGTCTTCAATACACCAAAATCACTAAGGGGCACTAGATGCACTTACAGCTCCAGTTCCACGGTGCACAATGTTTAGTACCACCTCGCCGAGCGAAGGGCAGCCGCACTGGTTTATAAACCCAGCCGCGGCTGCTCCTTCAAGCTCCTCTCTAGTGCAGGCCTCTGGGCCTAACCTTGCCGCGCTGCCCTGTGAGCCTACTGGGCCTTATGGGCCTGCATAGCCCCGTCCAAGGCTGAGCAGGCCCACTGGGCAGCGCGGAAATAATTTTTTTATTTTGTGGTTTATATATTTTCTTCTATTTATTTCTGAGTAGTTTTTTGCTGTATTTAGAGTTTCTTTGTGAATATTTTTGCTTTAGGTACAAAAAATTTAAATAGTTTAAATTTGAATTATTTGAAATTTGTGTGAATCACTAGTTTTTGAATAACTTAACTTTAAAAATAGATTTTTCAGAGTTTATTTTGTAGTGCTTTTCAATTTTACGGTCATTTTGCTCTCAAAACAAATCAGTAAATGCATCAAAAATAGCAAATTATATCAGAAAGGGTTGAAAGTTGATGACGTGGATTTGAATTGTTCATATGAACGCAAAAAAGTTTGGAGTTGTAATAAGTTATTAAAATATTGAATAGCCTGTGTAATAGATGAGTTTTCGTCCGAAACCCTGATACTTCGAAAGAGATTGTCCAGTTTGTACACGAAGTGCATCCAGTTTTTGCCGTAACCCTCTCTACTTTTTTGCACATGCCATGCGGGTGAAATGATGATACCTTGCCAAGTTTCAACCTTTTCAGAGTTCATTTTGTAGTGCTTTTCAATTTCACGGTCATTTAGCTCTCTAAACTAATCAGTAAATGCATCGAAAATAGCAAATTATGTCAGAAAGGGTTGAAAGTTGATGACGTGGATTTGAATTGTGCATTTGAACACAAAAAAAGTCCGGAGTTGTAATAAGTTATTAAAATATTGAATAACCGGTCTAACAGATGAGTTTTCGTCCGAAACCTTGATACTTCGAAAGAGATTGTCCAGTTTGTACACAAAGTGCATCCAGTTTTTGCCGTAACCCTCTCTACTTTTTTGCACATTCTATGCAGGTGAAATGATGATACCTTGCCAAGTTTCAACCTTTTCAGAGTTCATTTTGTAGTGTTTTTCAATTTCACGGTCATTAGCTCTCAAAACAAATCACTAAATGCATCGAACATAGCAAATTATGTCAGAAAGGGTTGAAAGTTGATGACCTGGATTTGAATTGTGCATCTGAACGCAAAAAAAGTCCGGAGTTGTAATAAGTTATTAAAATTGTGTAAACATGTAAAAATATACATAAAAATACATTGATCGGTACCTCCTTTCAACCAAAACGCGCTACTGCTACAGAGAAATACATCAAAAATACATTGATTATCAATGATCTTTTTGTGTACAATCTGAATTGTCAATATAAGTCCTCACCGGTTTAGAAACCGGAGAAGACTCATATTGTTGCCACAAATTCTACACATAGAGTTCAATGAAGACCAAGTGGTTGTGATAGTTTGAGAAGTAACATATTTAAGGTGGTAAAAACTCTGTTAGCGGAGCGATGTGGGACTAAAAAACCGCTGCAGAATGAATCAACTAGAAACCTCCAGTACCGGTTTGTGGCACGAACCGGTAATAAAGGTGCAGGTGGGGCCCCAGCCTGACCACAGCCTGCAATAACCTCTTTAGTACCGGTTCATGGCACGAACCGGTATTAAAGGTTCGCCACTAACCGATACTAATGATCTCCGCCCCCTAGCCGTTGGGACCGGCACTAATGATCATATTACTGCCGGTTTTGTTACAAACCAGGACTAATGTGCTTCACATTAGGCCCTTTTTCTACTAGTGGTGAAATCACAGTGATCATGCCTTCTATGTGAAAAATAAAAATAAGGCAAGGTCGGTTACTTTAATATGAGGCACAAGTCCGCCGAATATTCAGTTTCATCGGGCTCTGATTGTGGATAAGTGGACTGCTTGGCTACATTCGGTACATTGTTCGATGTCGATCAACTGATTTTGCAGGAATCTAATGTATTCCTCTAGAAGTTGCATTATTGTGGTGTTCTCCATAAAATCCATGCATGCTGATCTTATCAACGCTGGGGTTGCTTTCCGCATGAAGTATACTTGGAAGATTAGAGCACCCTTGAAGATAAAAGGTTTTCATACGCTATCTTAACCATGAGGTGATCTTAACAAATGATAACTCGGCAAAGTGCAAAATGGCAGGAATGCAAACTAAATGTTATTTCTAAGACTTGAGGAAACGATTCATTGTCCTTCCTTCCATGTTAGTTTAGTACTTTTATTTGGCGTAACAATACACATAACTTTTAATTTGCCCCATCCCCTCCTCCACCCACTAGCATTACAAATTTGTTTTGACACTGGTTGGTCAGGGTTCACCCCAAATTGATGGCACAAATCAATCACCATGTTGATGGGTTATTATTGTCTTTATTTCTTCCTAGCCCTTGTCTGGTGTAAATGCATATATAAACTACTAGCTCTCATCCACAGTGGTTTCCAGTTATCAACTAGCTAACCAGAATATCTCTTGTGCACCATTGTTTATTGTAGTGGTCAGTAGGCGGACTAAAGGAAGTTATATGTATGGGTTGTTTATCTCAGTTGAGTAAGCCGCTATGGATACATCATTCCTCAGTAGTCAGGATAATTTGCCTAATTTTATTCTATTAAACCACACACCATCACAAAATATTAGATATGGGAAGCATTAGGAATATTTAAGCTTGTGGCTACATATGGAGCCACACTGCTTAGCAAGAACGGTGTGGACAAGAGATTCTAGAATCAAGCGTATCAAAGTCGTGATGTCTAAGACATGCTACTGGCCTGACTTGGTGGATGCACGACCCTGGCTTACTGATGTGAGGGAGAGCACATACTATTTTCCCTTCTCTGCTACCAGAACATTTGGAAGCGCCGGTAGCGTTTCTCAAGCAACGCCTTAACCTGTAGTTGTTTCTCCAGATGTGTCAGGAGGAGGCATGTGCCTAGCGCGTTCGCCTTCCCCCTGAGCATGAAGATCACGCTAATGCCCGACTTTCTTCTCTTGCCTTTTTGCTAGGTTGCCACGTTGTTCTAGCATCTTCGAACTGCTCACTGTAACCTACCTTCTGGTTTCCTCCTTTAAATTTGTGACCATTCTGTCCCTTCCATATTAATCACTAACTGTGTGTGGTCTTTGGAAAAACTTCTTAGCTTGCTTGTTCTCTGCTGAATCAGTTCATCAAACTATCGAGTCAACTCGTGGGACGAGTTGTCAGCTACTTTTATGTTTTAGATGATTTTTCTTTCAAGAGAAGTTCTCCACAAAATATATTGGTGTTTTATGCTGTCTCATAGTGCTAAGTAAAGGATACCAAAAGGATGTCTAGCTAGTTTTAGTTTCCTATGTTTTCTTTGGCGAATAGGTGCCTATGTTAGTCTCAAGCAGTCCAGTACACTACCAAACTTGGCCAACATCACTGCATTTCACAACTTTGAGAAGACCCTGGTGAAATGCAGCTGGTCACCCGACAATCGCAAGGTCAATGGCTCAATGATGGGACCTGGGAGTGCTGATGGCATGGTCTACATCTGGGACACAACATCGAGGCGGATCCTGTACAAGCTTCCTGGGCACAATGGTTCCGTCAATGAGACCGCTTTCCACCCCACCGAGCCTATCATTGGATCTTGTGGCAGCGACAAGAAGATTTATCTCGGGGAGCTTTAGGTCGCTGCCATTTCCTAAACTAGGAGTTCTTGTAATATTTGGGTATGAAAGAGAACTGAAGACCGCAGGTACCAATGTACCATGTTGCTCTGTCAGACATTGAATGTTGTATTGCTGATCGAATTTTCAAACTGCTACTTGTTCAGTACCCTTACGGTTCTTGTTAAACTTATGGTGATTATGTCTTTTAAAGTTTTAATCAATAACTACTGTGC